TCTGCCAGAGAGACTGCAACTGGCCGACCAAGCGGCGTGAGTGTGGTGCGGTCTCGAAAGAAGGAGCGAGAAGCCCCCGAGTCAAGAGTGAAGGTGTGGGAGGCCGGAGCCGACGCAGTACCTGAGAGAGCAGACTCACCAGCACCTGAGGAAGCAGACGCATTGGCACCTAGAGCAGCAGCCTCGCTAGCAACTAGAGCAGCAGCCTCACCAGTACCTAGAGCAGCAGTCCCAATGCCCGGGTCGGGCGGAAAACACCCGTAACAGTCACCCTCATCACTAATAGTCACAGCATACATGGCAGCAAGAATAGCATCAAAGTCAAGGTCAAAGATAGCTACTCCCGCCCTAGACAGCTCGCCCCAGCGAGGGATCTCAGTGGCCTCAGGGAACTGGTGACGCCAAGCGTCCGTCAGGCGGCCAAAGCAGCGCTGGGTGGAGTGCGCACCCCCGCACGGCTCACCCGCGCGGTCGCCGGTGCGTAGGACGTAGGTGCACGGACCAGTACCCCCACCCCGCTGGCGTGCAGCGTACCACTCACGAAGCTGCTGAGGGGGGGGGATCTCACGAGTGCGCTGCTGCTGCTGCTGCTGCTGCTGGCGCTGACCACCACCGGAGCCGACCCTCTGCGCAGCGCCACCCCGACCAGCTCCACCTCCTCCGCCGCCGCCTCCTCCACCGCCGCCACCTCCGCCACCTTCGCTCCCACCGCCACCGCCGCCGCCGCCTCCGCCTCCACTGCCGCCACCGACGCCCCCACCCCCGCCACCACCCCCACCGCCACCCCCACCCCCTCCGCCGCCTCCACCGCCGCCTCCACCGCCCCCGCTAGCTCCTCCAGCGCCCCTGCCCCCCTTGCCCTTGCCAGTGCGGCGTCTCCCGCTAGGGGCAGACGCCGCACCGACCGACTCAAGACCAACGAGGTCGGCCGCAGCAGCAGAGGCAACAGAGGGCAAGAGAGGAGAGGGGGAGCACCCCTCAAAGACAGGGGCACGAGGGTCACCACGAGAGGCTCCTACAGCGACTATGCTCTTCTCTGCTACTAGGAGGCGCTCCTCGAGGAGGTCAACGGTGAGGGTGGTGGGGCAAACAGAGAGAAAGTGGTCCCTGACCGGGCGAAGGGTGTCAGGGAGCCGGGTGACTACGTAGTAGAGGGTGATGTACATAGGGGGGGGGTTCTTGGCGCAGAACTCAGGAGGAAGGGCAGCGCGGTAGCGAGTGTCACTAGTGCGCAGGTGCGTAATGAGGTCAGCGACTGTGGGAAAAGCGGCGAGGTCAGGGAAGAGGTACGGCAGGATGAGGCGGCTAAGTGCAGCAGTGGCAGGGGAAGAGTAGCGTGCAACTACAGCGTCGTACAAGGTCTTAGCACTCTTGTACTGACTAAAGTGTGCACGCTCAGCGGTAGGCAAGTGGCGGCGCACAGCAAGACGGGCAGCAGCGTCGCGTGTGGCCCACTGTGAGCGAACAGTGGCGTCAGCATCAGCAGCAGGGGCAGAAGAGGCACCAGAAGTGAGGTCAAAAAGAGAGAGACCGTCTGCCCTGTCGCACTGTAGGAAAAGCTGCAGGTCATCTACCCAGACGTCAAAGTCAATGGCCCGACCCTCAGCGTCAAAAGCGAGGACACTGGGGGTAGCCATGACAGCAGTAGACTAGCAGCTGGAGCAGTAGGGTAAGGGCAGCGCAGTGGTAGAGGTGCCGCTCTTACCGGACAGGGCGGCTCGGGCGGCTCGGCAGCTCGGCGGCTCGGCAGCAACTGCAGCTCGGCGGCTCGGCGACTCGGCGGCTCGGGCGGCTCGGGCGGCTCGGCGGCACGGCGGCTCGGCAGCAACTGGAGCTCGGCGGCTCGGCGACTCGGCGGCTCGGGCGGCTCAGGTGGCTCGGCGGCTCGGGCGGCTCGGGTGGCTCGGGCGGCTCGGCAGCAGCGGCGGCTCGGTAGATCGGCGGCTCGGCGGCGCCGGCGGCTCGGTGGTGACGGCGGGGCCGCGTGGGGACGGCGGCGGGGCCGGGTGGGGCGGCGACGAGGCCGCTGAGGGCGGCGGCGGGGCCACGAAGGGTCGCGTCCGGCGCCTTAAGGGTGGGGCCGCGGGGTCGCAAGGGTGGGGCGACGGGGCCAGCAGAGGCGGCGCCGGGGCCGGGAAGGGCGGCGCCGGGGCCGAGAAGGGCGGTGCCGGGGCCGGGAAGGGTGGCGTCGGGGCCGCAAGGGTAGGCGACGGGGCCGCGAGGGCGGCGTGGAGGGGTCGCGAGGGCGGCTCGAGGAGGCCGCGAGGGCGGCGCGAAAGGGCCGCGAGGGCGGCGCGAAAGGGCCGCGAGGGTGGCGCGACGCGACGGGACCGCGAGGGCGGCGCGACGGGGTCGCAAGGGCGACGCGACGGGGCCGCTAGGAATGCGCGACGCGACGGGGCCGCTGAGGCGGCGCGACGGGGTCGTAAGGGCGGCGCGACGGGGCCGTGAGAGGGGAGCGCGACTCGGGCAGAGGCTGAGCGCTCTCCGGGCAGGAAAAAAAAAAAGTTGGTGGGCCCTAGGAACAGTTCCCACAGGGGAACCTGCTCTATACCATGTGAGAATGAACGAGGAATGAAATGACTAAGGGAAAGTTGGGTACAAGTACAAACCCTAGAAAGCTGTACCCCATATGTGCTACCCCACTATAGCCACAGCAGCTAAGTCGTATAAATCTGACATACCCCTTAGAGAGTAACCCACTACAGCCTATACACATATGTATATCAGTTTGACAGTGCTCTGAACAGCGATGTTCTGAACAACGGTGTTCTGAACAGCAATGAACTTGCTACGTGACCATTAGCCAATCCCATTCCCCCAAAACTAGTGGCGCGAATAGCTGCACACTCACTTCTCAACTCGAACGTGCATCTTGAGCAAGAACCTCTCGCTCGGATTGATCCAGAAAACAATCAACTCGAACTTGTACCTACCCAAACTCGAATTGTCATCTTGAGCAGCGAGCTGCAACCTTATTGGTCGGAGTTCAATTCGCCCCTCCCACTTAAAAGATCAAAGATTGCTTCCATTGGTCGAAGCTATACTCCACTTCTGGGGATTCGCCATTTGCTTAAGCTGCAATTGAAAAACCTTGATAAGGCAACAGGTTGACAAGTACAATAAAGGATATTACTTCTTTGTTGTACCCAACCCAACAAGTGCGACCACAGCTTGTTCCTGCCCAGGGCTGACGTTTCAAATTAGGCCTCCCTGAATCCGGGAAAAAAATTCCCCCTGTATTATGGGTGCACATTTTTCAGAAAAACATCACCCTGATTGCTCAGTGTTGGGAAGTTTTATAGTCTGATTGCTCAGGGTTGAGAAGTCAGGATCAGGGTTAGTAACGCGCTGTGCATTATCGAAACTTGGTATGGTTCGGATATTTAGAAGATCTTGTGTGGATTTGATGACCAATCAAATTGGACGACCGTTCGTTCTTCAGATTTCTGGTTGCGCACTGTATGTGACTGGTGATTTGGACCCGAGTTGACTGGTCACATCACAGCACCAGCGTCAAACTGTAGCAAATTCGCGTTGACAAAGTGCATTCGGGCCGTACAGTACAGAGCAACAGATTCGCCCAATCACAGAGAAATGGCCCTGGCACAACAGCCGCTGTCAGAGCACAACCATTTCGACCAATCACAGCAACATATATCTGGCATTGCAGATTCGGCCGATCTCGATGGTGGGTGGGTGTATTTAGACGAAATTTCCGAGAAGTTTCGTTTCGATAAAGTGGGGGGAGGGGGATTCCGCACATGGGGGGTGCTGCGATGCGATCAATCCGAAGGCGAGGTTATCGAGATGAAATTTCGGAGAAACTTCCTCTCGATAATCTCTCATTCGCGGGGTCCACAGAACTCGTACTCTGTAATGACAGAGTCCGTAAGAAGACTACTCTGAGCCTGTATACAAAATTTCAGGGCCCGCTAAAGCGTTAGTCTGAATGGATCAGTGTTCACAAGGCGTAAATTCTGAAATTGCAGGGACCACAAGGTGAGAAGTCTGAAATCACCCTGAAATCAGGGTAATTACCCTGATAAAATCAGCCCTGTTCCTGCCTGCTGCAAGAGAATGAGCAATTCATGATGTTTTTGGTGTATGTGGGCGATATCCATCTCGTACAACTTTTTGCTTCACAGCAGCACGCGTTCCCTGGGATGTGCTGCGTTCAGGCAGGGGGAATAACGACTGCTCTCGCACATCCTTTTGGTTGCTGGTTTTGATGCCATTTTCTTTTATGTTGTGTAATTCTCTTTGTACATCTTATAGACTAATATGAAACTTCAAACTATATGGGTGTTTTCGAGCATTGATGTGCTTCATTTGCGGGGACGATGTCGAACAACACATATCGATCGAACGGCTCAATATCCAACCCAAATATCGTAGTGGTGGGGGCTGTGATGTTCGAAAGGCTTTCACCAAGTTCCACGTCTACCCCAAACAAATCGAAGCGCGTCATGACTACCATTCACGTAGTCGCGTCGCAGATTCGTGGGCTGGGCTGTGAGGGAGGGTGAGACGAGCGACGACTTTTAAAAAATTCCCTGCTCTTCCCGACGAACCAGTCAGTCTCCCCACCTCCAACACCTCCAACACACTGATACTACTGCTCCAACTCACTCTTGGTGGTCTCAAGCATGTAGTCGAAATGGTTTCGATATTCGTTACCTTCAGTTCTTTTAACCAGCTTACGTGTTCAAGTGTGACCGCAGAAGTTGTCCAGCTTTAGACAGGTCCAACACACAAATAGCTCGATGGCACGCGCTTATGGTTGAAGTCCAGCCGACTGCATATATCTCCCGTTTTGAGACATCCGTCCTCGTTGTCGTCTCGCCCCGATGTGAAGCAGCGACAAAAGCACTGATGTCGACGGAACGTAACATTTAAGACCCATTTGGTCAAACCGAACATAGTACTAGCTAGGCACGCTTAGTCTCGCTCCATTTTTCATTATGGAAGCCGTGCGCCGCGCTGTTTTACAGCTCGTGATGTCCGCGTGCCCGCTTTTATCCACCGCGCGCCCTCCATGCGTGCACGGACGTCACTTGAATCTCCGACGAGGGCTCTTCGGGTGCTGCCTTGTGATGCACATCGTGCTACACAGCAGTCTGGCGCAAGTAGGCGGCCAGGGGTACCTGGAGGGCCAAGGCCGGGCGAGAGGAACGGTCTCGCAGCGGGGTTTAACGGCGCAGCAGCAGCAACAGCAAGGCGGTGGTACAGTGACGCGGTTGTATCTTCTGCCCGGCAACCCGTACGGCGCCAAGTGTCTTGACGGCAGGTACGGCGCTGGTTCTGTTGGCTAGCGAGTCACAGATGCGTCACGCAGATAAGATGCGGAAACAGGTTAGTGAGTAACGAGGGGTACAGCTTCCTATGGTTTTGTGCGTGCATCCCACTCGCTTCCCCCATCTGCCTACCTTCACGCGCGCGGCTTTCTGAGGGCGATTTGCGGCTTTCTACCCCCTGAATCCCCCTGTCCCCCACTTGCAACCATTCTTTCTGTCCGCGCTTCCCCTTTCTCTTTCTCGCGCCTCCCGTGGGTCGCGCGTGGCCAGCCCCCCGGGGTACTATCACAGGCCGGGCTATGCGGCGGGCAGCGCGGCGTGGCACATCCACCTCCCGGGCGGCGGGTGGTGCACGTCTATGGCGGGGTGCATGCACCGCGCGCAGACGAACCAGGGCAGCACGCGTTCGCGCCCCACCGTCATCGTGCGGGGCGGCAACGACAGGGACGAGGGCAGCGCGGTAAGCGGGTAGTCATAGGTGGGTGGGCCGGCGACCGGCTGTAATGGTGGTTACGGTGGTTGACCTGGCGGTGATGGCGGGCATAACACACCGATGGAGTGGCGGGGCAGAGCCTTTCGACGGTTGGTGGCACACGCTCGTTGGAATTGACGCGGACAGACTGCGGGGTACTGACGTAGTGCACTCGTTGCGCTTGGAACTGGCGAGATTCGGAATAACAGAGCACGGAACGTTGAAAGTCATTCCCTATCGTCTTCTGCCCCCCGCGCTGCCCCACACCCTCCGCCAGTCCCCGGCGCGCGGAATCAACTCCCCGGACCCGATAGTGAACCCGCTGTTCCACAACTGGCACCTCGTGCGCCCCATCTATTGCGACGGCGGGGGCTTCGCGGGCCGCGCTGGCTGGCGGGCTGTGCGCGGCGGTGGCAGTGCAGGGACGGCGGGGGTGTACCTGGACGGGTGGAAGATCATACACGCCGTGCTCAATGGTGGGTGCGACGGCCGTGACAGGTGCACGCGCAGCATCTCACGCGGCGGAAGCAAAAGCGAGCAGCAGCAGTGCATGTGGGGAGCGCCTGCTTGCACGCAGGGATTGTCCGTGGAGGGGTGGAACGTGGTGCGTGCGGGATGGTGCTGTGCAAGGCAAGGCACGCAGCACCACTCGGCACGCACCACCTTCCACTCCTCCGCACGCACCACTCTGCAGGCACAATGCGTGGCGTTTAGCAGCGGTGGGGGTTGGGCCGGTTGACGTTAGGCAACAGCTAAGGAGGCTTGAACAAGGCTTTTTGCTCCCCAATCACGCACCACCTATCCTCACCATCGCTTTAGCCACCCACTTTCTCCCTCACTCACTCCGACTCCCTACCTCACCCATTTCGTATGCCATCTGTCACGCATCATATAATTGCATGCACGAACACCGCTTGTCCCTGCTCCATACCCATGTCACCCGCTTACGCAGACCTGAAGCAGAATAGAGGCATGGCTCGGGCAGCCAGCATTTTATTGACGGGCAGCTCAGCGGGCGGGCAAGCAGTGATTACGCTGTGCGACCGCGTGGCGCTCCTCTTCCCGTCGGCCACCGTCAAGTGCATTCTGGACGCTGGCTTCTTTGTTGGTGCGTGCCCCGCTCTCCACGATGCTCGCATGCCCTCTCACGCATGACGCCTGCGCCGCGGACCTGCCCCTTGTTCTGGTTACCCGTACATCACCTTCCAAGACTTGTGTGCGTCTCACGCGCGTTTCTGCTGCCCGCACGTCTTCCTTGTGCTCTGACTGCATGCATGTATGCCCACCCCGCATGGCAGATGCGGAGGACCGGTGGCATGGGAATACGATGAGCACTATGGTGCACAGCATGGCGGCCCTGCACGCCATGCGACTCAACCTGCACTGCACACAAGGTCAGCACCTCCAGGTTCATTGTAGCTTTGTTAATGTCACAGTCTTCTGCTCTCTCTCTCTCTCTCTCTCTCTCTCTCTCTCTCTCTCTCTCTCTCTCTCTCTCTCTCTCTCTCCCTTCCTCGTATGCACCTCTTCTTCCCACTCACAGCTTCCCTTGCTCAAGCTGGACTCACTTCCGTTGCCTGCTCCCTGCCTCGATCTCTCCCTCTATTTCCCTTCATCCAGCCTACCCACTGCAAGAGCAGTGGCGATGTTTCTTCGCGCACCGCTCGCTGCGCTTTGTGTCGGCGCCGCTGCTGGTGGTGAACTCGCTGCTGGACTACCGTGCGCTCACCATCGGCAACCAGCTGCGCCCCAGTGCCACCCTCGGCACTCAGTGCTTGCGCTCCCTGGTCAAGCAGGCCAACGGCGACATCAAGACAATGCTCTGGAGTAAGCAGTGGAGGTTGTGGGGAGCCGTTGGGAAAGAGAAGGCTTGGCAGGAAAAGGCCGGGGCAGGGAGTGAATGTCAGCCAGCAGAGAGGAGGGCGGTGTTAAATGCTGCATGGAAGGTGCTGCGCAGCACAGATGCTGCGAGGAGAAAGAGAGGGACGCAGATAAGCAACTTTGTGACAGTGGCTGTGGCCCACTGTTCGCTCACGAGCCCCAAGTGGACTGCTGTTACTGTGAATGGAACAAACTTGAGGGATGCAGTTACCAAGTGGTGGCTTGCCAAGGCGCACAAGGTTACACCGTCTACTGTCGGTGGTAACGCTCGCTTCAGGCACGCTGGCAGTGCGAGGCAGAAGGCGAGGTCGAACGAGAGCAGAGGAGGGTCAAGAGGAGCCATGCAGAGGCAGGTGAAGTATTCCTCGAATGCATTGCAGCGGACTGGCTCACAAGACCAAGCAGCAGATATTCACACAAGAGATGATTTGAGAGAGAGTAGTGAAGAGCAGAAAGAGAGTGATGCAGCAGTGGCTGTTCGGCATGCCCCCCCAAGCATACGGACTGGGCATGCCACAGGTACACACCCTTATCAAACTGGCCTGGGAAGCAATGACTCCCTCGGCGACTCGTTATCCGACTGGTTCAACTCATGACCCCTTCACAATGGGTTCCCCATTTCCAAAGTGTTTCTGAGAAGTTCGCTAACCACCGCCAGTATCGTGAAATTGCTTTGTGTGAAAATACGGGGATGATATATATAACGTAATCCCTTGAATATACCATACCACCCTAGGGTCTAAATATAAGGAATTAATAAAGAAAATGTGTGTGTCTTGACAACGAAAACAAATCTACCGTATATGACACAAGTTGCTTCATATGACATTTACGTGTTAAACTATGTCAAACTATGATTACAAATTGGATAGGCTGTAGTGAGCAGGCCCCAAAATGTCAGGGTATTTACCCTGATTGCACTATCTGGCGGTCACTTTTTTTGGGGTTACCCTGACCCAGTCAGCCTCCCAAAATTCTTACCCTGACTCAAAAAGTGGTAGTTTTTTTTTTAACCCTTATGAAATCTGAGTTAGTGTTTTTCTTCCCCTGACTTCATCAGTGTTTCAATCCAGTTACCCTGACACCGGACTTTCGTAGCGAGGACTCTCAAATTACATTTCTATGATTGTAGGCTGTAGTGAGGTAGCTCACATAGAGTACAACCCTTCTAGGGTTTCACTACTTGTATTTGTCATTCCTTCTACTGAACTCATTCCTGCATAGTCCTCCCGAAATGGTTTCAGAGTAGGATCACGGTTAGATTTATTTTAGGGCCCACCAAAATCGATCCGCTCGACCCTGCCCGAAGCGCCCTCGCACTGCCCTGCCCTGCCCGAACAGCGTCGCGATGCCGCCCTGCTGCCACGCGCGCTGCCTGCCTAAGCGCGCTGCCCTGCTGCCACGCGCGCTGCCTGCCTTAGCGCGCTGCCTGCTGCACGCGCGCTACCTGCCTGCACACACGCTGCCAGCCCGCACGAGCTGCCTGCCCGCCAGCGCCACCAGCCCGCGTGTGCCGCCTGCCCGCGAGCTGCCTGCCCGCGCACCCGCTGCCTGCCCACTGGCGCTGCCTGCCCGCGAGCGCTGCCTACGCGCACGCGGTGCCTGCCCGCGATGCTACCCGCACGAGCCCCCTGCCTGCGCGCGTGCTCCCTGCCCGCGAGCGCCCCTACCCGCACGCGCTGCTGCTGCTGCTACGCAGCTGCTGCCACACACGCTGCTGCGCCTGAGCTGCTACTGCCGTGCGCGCTGCTGCGCTGTGCCCTGCTGAGCAGCGCTGCCCAGCCCGAGCCGCACCGCCCTGCCGAGCCGCGCCGCCCAGCGCGAGCCGCGCCGCCCTCTCCCGAGCCGCGCCGCCCTGCCGAGCCGCGCCGCCTTACTGCTGCTGCTGCTGCTGCTGCTGCTGCTGCTGCTGCTGCTGCTGCTACTGCTGCTGCTGCTGCTACTGCTGCTGCTACTGCTGCTGGTGCTGCTACTACTGCTACTGCTACTATGGCCACCATTTCGGTGCTTACCTTTGATGCGGAGGGTCGCCCGATTAGCTTTGACGTTTGGCTCGACGATCTCCAGATGTACCTGCAGGGCGAATTTAAGGATGGAGTTTCCTTGACAGAGCATACGTCAGGATCCCTCCTCGCCCCAGCTGCTACAGTCGACCGCTTAGATCATTCAAAGTGGCTCACGTGTGACGCTACTGCCCGCCTTGCTGTCCGCAACCACCTCCCGCTAGCTGAGAGAGCCCATTTTGGCCAGCAGAAGACAGCCAAAGACCTCTATGGCACCGTTGTCGCTAGTTACTCCTCCCCAGCTACTGCTGCCCTAGGCCATCTCATTCTGCCGTACCTCTTTCCTGAGCTCGCAGATTTCCGCACTTTCGCTGACCTCATGATCCACCTTCGCTCTAGTGATACTCGCTACTGCGCCGCTCTCAAGCTCGCCTTTTTCAAAGAGAACCCCCCACCACTGTATATCACCTTGTAATTCCTTGTCACCCGCCTCCCGGACTCCCTCCGCGCAGTTAGGGACCACTTTCTCGCCCTTGACCCCACACTGAGCTCACGCTTGCCTCGCTGGAGAAGTCCCTTCTTGAGGCTGAGATTAGTACTGTCGCTATCGCTGCCTCTCGTGGCACTCCCCGCTCCCCCTTTTTTGAAGTGCGTGCTCCCTCCCCTCTCATACCCTCTGTTGCTACTGCTGCTGCTGTCGACCTCCTTGGTGCTGAGGAAGACTGGGCACACGGAGTATCACTGCTTCGGCCGTCTCGAGGATCCCTGGGTGGCCGAGTATGGTGATGAGCAGGCTGTCCCCAACTGGCTGCAGCTGATAGCGAAGGGAGTAGATGTGTTTGCTCTTGACTTTGTTTAGATCAACAAGGCACTCTATGCTCTGTATGTTGTGTTATTAGTGCTGAGGGTACTTGTTACTCGTGTGTGCCTTGCGCTGATGGTATCGCTGCCCCTTCTCCAGGTGCTAGTGAGTCTGCTGCCGCTCTAGGTGCTAGTGCGTCTGCTGTCACAGGGGCTAGTGGGTCTGCTGCCTCAGCTGAGGCCTTGCACACCTTCACACTTGACTCTGGTGCGTCTCGTTGCTTTTTTCGTGACTGCATCACAGTCACACCGCTCGCTGCACCGGACCCAGTCTCACTGGCTGACCCCTCTGGGGGCCCAGTTGTCGCACGAGCCTCCACTGTCCTCCCGTGTCCGGCGGTCCCTTTTGGCTCATTTCCAAGTCTCCACCTCCCCTAGTTCTCGACGAACTTGGTGAGCAACGCAGTCCTTCAGGATGTATGGGTTGACATTTTTACCCCTGGAGGACAGCGTGTGGCGATCTGTACGTGCTCCTGGACTGGTTATCACCTTGCTATGTTCATTCGGCAGCCTAGGTCCAGTCTGTACACCTTGACCACTACGTCTGCACAGGTGGTTGCGTCAGGTCAGGTGGCTACGCCAAGTCAGATGTCTGCGTTTGGTCAGTTCGCTGCGTCGTGCTCGTATTGGGTGCTCTCCCACCAAACTCTCCTCTGGCACCACCGCCTCGGCCACCTTTCTCTGCCGCGTCTAAGCAGCATGAACTCTCATCTCCTTATCTTTGGCCTTCCCAGGTCCCTGCCCCCCTCCCGTTCTCGCTTGACCCACCGTGCCTTCCCTGCGTCGAGGGGCGGCAGTGCGCCGCTCCTCACTCCTCGTCGTTTCCTCCGACCACTGCTCCTCTGCAGACTCTCCACATGGACGTGTGGGGCCCGGCCCCCGTCCATGGGACGGACCAGGAGCGCTACTTCCTGCTGGTTGTTGATGACTACACGCGCTACACCACGGTCTTCCCCTTGCGCAGCAAGGTGGACGTCCGCGGTGTTTTGATCCCCTAGACCCGCGCTACTCGTCACCAGCTACGCGAGCGGTTTCGGCGGGACCTCCTAGTCCTGGGTCTGCACTCTGACAGGGGCGGTGAGTTCTCTTCCGGCCTCCTTGCGGACGTCACCTTTGGCGAGTCCTGTCCTCCCAGGACGTCACCTTTGACGAGTCGGTCTGTTTCTACAGGCTGCACCCGCACGCGTCCCACCCGGTCCCCCTGGCGCCTCACTTCCTAGTACCAGATCCCCCCCCGGTAGACCCCCTCCTCCCACAGGGTCCTGCTCCCTCAGGTGTGTCTCAGGTAGACCCACCCCCCTTGGTTGAGCCTTTGGTGATCTCCTCTGACACCTCTGGCCCAGCTGAGGGGGGTGACCCCGTTGCTAACGACACGGCGACCACTCGTCGCTCTCCACGCTTGGAGACCCCTCCTGGTTTTCCGCCTCGACTGTTTTCGCCGCCTCTGCAGCCTGTAGCTGTGGACACTGGTGCTGCTGGGGGTGGTGACACTGGGGGTAAGGACGCAGGAGGTGCTGGTCCTGGGGGTGCTGAGACTGGGGGTGCTGGTCCTGGGGGTGCTGAGACTGGGGGTGAGGGTTCTGGGGGCGCTGATTTTGGGGGTGCTGACTCTGGGGGTGCTGCGAGTCCTAGTGGTGGTGGGGCCGTGG